CTCCATATGAACAAGAACAACAAAAGTAAGTGTAAATCATACAATACCTATAATTCCACCTCACCTTTACCACCACCATCATATAACCATATTTATAGACCCCTTGCATCTGACAACTAATATTATTTTCCAGCCCATTTGGACACCAAGAGTCTGAAGAGTATGCCCCAGAACCAGACGACTGGGGTAATGAACCCCCCCAGGTCGACATGGACATAGGTGTACCTGTACGAGCCCTGTATGACTATGAAGGTGTAGAAGGGGATGAGTTATCATTTAAAGCTGGTGAGATCATAACAAAGCTCTCAGAAATGGATGACCAGGGCTGGTGCGAAGGACGCTTTCAAGGCAAGCTGGGGTTATTCCCTGCCGATTACGTAGAACCTGTTTAGATCTATCAAATTCTTTATGCTTAATCTATTTTTTTAAATTGTGTGTTGGGTATATGGTACAAGTAGTTGTACCTTCAGGAGCAGAGGGCTGCCTCTTGACTTCTACATGTGCCTAAGGCCTGTTCTAGATGCCACTCCAGGGCTTAACCTAATAAAATTAAGTTGGACTAAATCAACTTCAGAAAAATGACTTCAGTCAGAAAACTCAGTGGTAAACTCTGGATGATATCAGGGGGGTGGCTGTTACCTTGAAAGCCGCTAGCACATAGTTTCTTCTATAGATTTGACATCAATTTTTATTTTTAAAACATCAAATAGGTAAAGCTAGGCAGTCAATCCACTTACATAATTGTGGTGAAGCTCGTTCACTTTTCTACAGGAATGAAAGAGAAATATTTTCAGTTATCATAACTTATGCGTTACATTTGGTATAGGGAAAAGTGGCATCTGAATCAGTTGCTGCCCTAATGTTGCAAAATACTACAAACCCTTCCAAACTTAGCTGGCTTTGTTGTAGTTAATTCAAYCTTCTGTATCARAGGGATTCTCATATTGCTCTTTGGTCAGACTTTAACCCTTTTGCTACTAAAAAGTCAAAAACAGACCAAAACAGGCCGAAAATTATCATTATTTTTCATCAGCCTGTGTCCACCCAAGAAAATACCCTACTGTAACCCATTGTTCAGTTGTCATACTCAGGGCTGTAACCAGAAATTTTACAGGGAGGGTGCACATCGAATAAAATCGGGCCATTGATCGTTTTTTTCATAACCAACTTAGTGGCGTAACCAGGGATCTTGCAAGGAGGTGCACATGCTACAGGCAATAATTTGCAGAACCAAAAAGAAAAAAAGGTAACCAAAAGAAAGCAGAACCAAAAAAAAAAAGAGATGGAGGAGCAGACCTTAAGCTTTTATGGGGGGGTGCACGTGCACCCTGTGCTCCCCCCTGGTTACGGCCCTGATACTTGAGGTATTATTCAATCAAAGTCCGGAAACTTCACATAAATGATTGTGAGCACAATTTTTGGTCAACTCTCTGAATAGCTCTAGGAACACAGGCAGAATAATGAGGTTGGACCTTAGTAGTCAAAGGGTTAATTCAACATCTCCTGTTACTAATTGTCTGTCACTCAGGGTTACCATTGTATAGAGTATTCATGAGTTACAATGAAGGTTGATGTAATTTAGAGGTCTTTCTATTGTTGAACTTGTGCATTCTTTACTTTGGATGCTGATACAAGGCTAACCCTGAGTAAATGAGTCAGTAATCAAGAAACACAGCTGTGTTTCAAGAATTGGAAAAAGGTCTACAGTCAATTCAAAAAATGTTGTYGTCGACCGGCTCAAGCCTACGC